TAAAAAAAAAAAAAAAAAAAGTTTCATTAAAATTATCTTAAAAAAATATTTGATGTAAAATTAAAATTGAAAGTATGAATTAATCTTTGATATAAATATTTAACAAAACAAAATATGAATAGAATAACAATAATTCCAGAAGTTTCTATCTAAAATTATTTTTGAAAAACATTTGAATAAATATGAATTAATTATAATAATTATAAATATATAATATAAAAATAAATATAAACTTACTACTTTTTCTCTGGAACGAAGAACACCGAGCTTTCCAAAACGAACATGAAAGGGTGAACAAGTAAATGATCCATCCGGTTGTTCGACGACAATAACATCGATAGCACCAGTGAGTGTCGCCGCGTTAATTTCATTGTAGAAAACGCGAAAGTTACTTATGAATTTCCCAATGTAGTTCATACTGTACATTTTATACTAACGTATCGTTGAACCACACTCAAAATATATTCTCGTTAAAATATTTCACCGCGTTACAGTGATGTGTGATTTTCAAAATACTTAAAAATTGCCGCGAAATTGAAGAAATGTATTTGTTTAGTCTTTCTTCTCGAAAAACACCGAGTTCAAATACATCCAATATGAAAATTGACTTAACCACATCGAATCATTATTTTTTAATGGTATTAAAATCGATGAAAGTTATTATTAGTTTTTGTTCAAATAAATCAAAAACTATAATTGAACAGTGTTTCAATAAAATCTAATACCGTTAGTTACCGTTACGAGAAGATGCAGAACTGTCAAGAATTTGAAGCCGGGCAAATACTTCGAGCGTGTATCTATAATAAGTTTATTACGTAGATTGTGCATCAAAATGCACGATTAAACGAATAGCACGTTCAAAATTACAAACAAGTTCAATAGATTACACTTGCAAAACTCAATCAAAATTAAAATTCTTTGTTCTCATAAATGATTTGATGAGAAATCCACCCGACTACCAGCAGACGGTAGCCCAAATTGACGTTAGAACGGGTCACGTGCCCAGACTTGACCAATCCAAGTTCTCAAATACATCGGTCAATAAGGTTTAATACCACGTGACGTTATAAGAGTCGCGGGTTACCGCGACTTTTAAATGTTATTGCTCAATCTGAAAACATAAAAGAGATATTTATTTATTTAAATATATTTTTTAAAAGAATCCTCAAATTATTTCTAAAGTAAAAAAACAACGAATATTGCTTTATTTGAATTCATAAATTTTAAATTTTCAAGTTGAATTTTTTCTAAAATTGAATTTTTTCTAGAATTGCTTAATATTTAAATTTTAAGACAATTAAAAAAAAAAAAAATAATTTTGTTATTCATTTTTTATATTCATTTCGTAAAAAAACGGGAAAGATTTTAAAAAAATGAAGGTAACAAAGTTTTCCGTTACCTTGTTGAATTGTGCATTATGTAATTATATGATTTTATCAAAACAGTATCTCAATTGTTGTATTTTGTTTTAGAAGCAATATATATGCACAATATATATATATATAAATATGTGAATTTTTCATTAATACGAAAAATATATAATCATAATTTCATATAACATTTAAATAAAGTTGCATTATGTTTGAAATAAGATTAGATAAAAAATCGATAGAAAAATTGAATATTTATTTAAATCATCACAGAAATTTATTTAACGATGTGCACGAGAACACTGCATGCAAAGTGTTTTTGAATGCGTGAAATTGATCCATTATCTCTTTACCAGTCATGCGCCAACTATCGTCGAGAAAAAGATGTATTTTTGTACCTCTAAATCTTATAGACTAATATGTATTTTCGAATAAATCGAAATTTAAAAAAATAAAAATAAAAAAAATTTTTTTTATATAATCAATCACTTTTTTTCTTTCTTTCAATGAATACTATATAATTAAAACTACAAATTACAATTAAATTCTAATTTTCATTGTTTTATTTTAAAATAGTGAAATAGAAAGATTCTTAATTCGGAAAATTCGTTAAACATTTATCGCAATAAATCTACATGATAATATATTTGAATTTTTATGATAAATATCATACAAGATCATTCGATTTTATATAACTAAATCTTATTATTAATTTCAATTTCTTTTTTTTTTAATAAATTTAAAAAAAAGATTTTTAAATATAATATATTCTCACAAATTATATTATATTTTTCTATATATAATATAATATTTCTATTCATTTCTTCTTCGATTTATTTCTCATTATTATTATTCATTCTTTATTATTATTTATTCATTTATTTTATTCTTAATTTTCATGATATTGAAGTATTACACATATAAATATTATTAATGCTACTATTTTGATTAATAATTAAGCGTTAATGTGAAATGCAGGTGGCACTAGCACGCGTAACAAGATATAAGTTGAACAAAAATGTCATTGATAATCAATAAAATCGAAGAAGCAAATGTTTTCGAAGAAAAGTAGTATTTTTATGCGTAAACTGTTCTAATAATTTTATTGAACGCATGTTGCAATGTTGAATTCAGGGCCAAGGAATCACGAATTAGTAATAATTATTACATTCACAGAATACATAGTTTCTTGACATTCAGCGACTTGCCAAAATTGAACGACATTCAAGCCAAAACAGAACATAAAAGTATTTTTTGCTTCTTACTTACTGAATATAATAATATCTTCCTAACCTTCAAATCTTGCAATACTAAAGTTTCAGTTGCTAGTAATTTTTCTTTTTGTTTTTTAAATTTAGAGTTTATTTCAATAACACTTATGAAATCACGATATTATTGAAAGAATAACTATGAAGAAAAGAAAAAATAAAAATAAAAATAAAAAATGCATATTATATTGTATACATGCAGAATATCTGCGTTTTTACCATATTCATTATAGTTTCTCTTAGCAGACACTAGTAAACATGTATGGTACTTCTACGTATATGGTAAATGTGACGTAAAACTAACAAGCGAAAGTAAACCGTTTGTAAACGAAAGGTCTGATCGAGCGTACTGTCCTCTTTCCTGTTCTCCTGATCCATCCCTTCCATAATCTGTCGTAGATTTATTTTAAATTTCCAAAGAAAAATGAATCGTTGATTTTAAAAGAAATGATATACATAGAAGCTAAATTTCATGATGAGATTATTAATTCTAAATAAAATCATTATCTTTCAAAAATAAATAACGAATTATAAATGATTAATGAAAAAGAAATGGAAATCGAAATAAATTAATCGATTTCATAATAAATTTTTTCCAAAAATTTTTACTGATTTTTACTGAAACGGCTTTTAAATAACGGATTTTAATAATTTTTACATTAAACCTCGAAAGAACTGTTATTTCACGAGTAGTCCTTTCAATTTTTCTTGTTAAATTAATTAATTATTTAGTTAATTCGCAGAAATATAATTATGTGATTATCGTATCTATATTGCAATCGATAAATATATATCTATTAAATACATTTAAACACAAATCTAATTTCGAAATAGACTATTTCTTATTCTATTCGTATCTTTCTTTCCATTCGTTCTCACCTTTTACTTTGTTGTATGAATCAACGGAAAAGTTGGAAAATAAAGATAATAAATAAAATATCGTTGTGATAATAGTTTACGATTAAGAATTCGAAATCAAAATCTAAGAATCCTCGATGATTTAGTTCAAATATAAATTAATTTATTGATTATAGACACGACTGAATTTTACACATAATGCAAAATTTTTTTCTCTCGCGTAAAATTAAGCAATCAATATAATATTAATATCAATATTATCAGTATAACATTGATCAATTAAACAATTTCCGAGAAATGGAAAACAAATGGATTTCAAGTAAAAATGATTCGACAGAAAATTATATCGCGATTATATCACGAAAAATAAACCTTGTTTTAGACCTTGAGCTTTGATCTTTGAGCTTTGATCGTTCTATTCTTTGGTTTTGAGCTTTCGATAAAAATATACAAAATCGAATCTATGAAAATATGCAAAATCGACAAAATCGAAAGAAACACTGCCAAATGGAAGAAGCGAAGATAGATAAATTATGCAATTATTCTTCGTTTCTTCTTGATGTTTGTTTGGAAAAGATATGTTTTCATTTTCATTTCGTTTTATTTTTATAAAATTTAATATAATATATTTTCAACTAAATAGCGTTTTCATATATAATAACTATGTAAACAAGTATAGTATTTTATTTATTGTTAAATTGCATTGTATAATAAAACCAACATATATTTAAATACTTATAGACATGTATAGTTACACTCTATGTTTAATATTTCTGTTTCTACTATTGATATAGACTCTCACTCACCTATATATGATCCATAATTCCACTGTTGCGAAAGATTAAATTATTTCTTCAAAATTAATACTAATTCCAAACGAATATATGATTTAGCGTGTACTTTTGACAAATTTTGCGAAAATAAAAAATCTCTATCAACGGAAGAGAAACTTGCATGAACCGTTTCGTGCGAACATTCAAGTCAAACTGACTGAGTCAGCGACCGGAGAATCTCTTGACTCTCGATACTGCGCTCACGTTTTATCGTGGCCTCTTGCGATGGCTTAGCAAATATACGCTGATCTAAAGTTAATATATACCATGCGTCATAACATACATATCTATACATTGAACATATCTATACATATATATTGTATGTAACGTATAAGAATTGTAATGCTGGTAAATACGATCCTTGTTCAGCAGAGAAAACGCACGTGGCTTATGTTTTTACCATCGAAAGCTTTCCGATTGGTTGTTGGATACTCGGAACAGCGGTCGAGCCTTCTTTTGCCTTCTTACTTAGAAGAATGGGAGGAAGTGAAACACGCTATTGGATCATTGACCTATATTGCTTTGTACGTAACTGACTATCACCCCGTCATATTTTATCGTGAAATAATATATTTTTTTTTGACAATTACGTCAATGAAAAAAACTTGTTTTTTTACATCATCTTAAATTAATTTCATCTTAAATTTTTATATTAATGATAAATTCGTTAAAATAATTAATTTCATCAAAAATTTATCAGTAAAATGAAAATATGTAATTATATATATTATTTATTATTATAAAAAAAATAAATGATTAAATAAATACCAAGTAACGCAATCGAAAAGATACTGGTACGAAGGTCAAAAAAATAATTTTTAGTGACAAAGCTATCTTTCAAACAAAAAAATACTGGCTACTGCTACGTTGTTTACCGTATATTTACACTATTACGTGGTATTGTAGCTAGAATTGGCTCGATCAAAACGGAAGTATTTACACCTACATGCGATCGCGCATGATCGCACTGAAAAACAAATTAATTTCACAACTAAACGATAATAGCTTACTGATCAAACTTTCCTATTGATCTACCGTGTACAATAAGATTAGGATGGCATTAAGAGAAATGTATATTCGATAGTGATAAACAATATTCGATTGAGAACGATATTTTGCAACGATGTAAAATAACATTAGTAAAATGATAATATATTTTTAACCTCAATGTTGTTTTGTAAAGTTTTCTTTGTAATGAATCGCTACAAATCGATAATTTTCGAGCTATTGCGTAATATCGCAAGGTCATTTATTCTGCGCGCGCAAGTGCTTCATATAACATAAATTTTTCATTTATTAAATGGATAAATCTTAAACAAATTTTTTGGATTATTATTATAAATTTATAATATATAAATTTAATAGATGATAGAAAGTGAATTATCAACTTTTTGATTAACAGTTTTAGTATTTAAAATATATGTAATTATATATTTGAAATAACTGAAAAATTTTATAATTGTATGATAATGCCTATTTATAAAAATACATTTTCAAATATTTAATTAATATTAAATTTGCATTGTCTATTTATAAAACATAAAAAAAATTTATTCAAAATTAAAAATTTAAATTTAATCTCATTTATTTATTAATGGTGAATTTATGATTCACCATTTTCCTAATTATTTATCTTTCATGCCAAAAAACAAACGATTTTTGGAAAAATTATAAATAAATTTTCATATTTTTAATTGCGTTTTAATGATAGTGATAATTTTTAAAAATCAATACAGGTCAATACAATTTCATATGAGAAATGAGATCATTTAACCTAATAAATGTATCTAAAATACAATATTTCATATGATGAAATAATTTCAACTAATAATAAAAAAATGTTAGTTTTATAATTTGTTATTTTTGTATATATTTAACAATAATTTTTTTATTTTGATTTGTTCGATTGTCTCGATTGTTCGGTTTTATTTTCTTTATGTCGCATTATCTTGATTGAATTGATCAAAAAGAAAGAAAAATATATTGATTAAAAGGTAACGTTAGTAGTGATAGCTTCGTGAGGGCACCACATAGCGAACGATACTTATTTACGTCGATAATATCGACCAATCATTATACTTAACTCGACATGGTTCAAGTCCGTGCTCTTATTTTTCGTAGTTTAATTTGACATATTTATTAGATTTTACTAATTTACTTTTTACAAATTTAATCAATAACAATTTGTAAATAAGCAAACTAATTTGGAAATTATGAAATGTTAAAATGTTTAAAAAATTATAAAATGTTAAATATTTAATTCATTGATCAATTAATGATTATTTGTGAAAAATCAAATGCGAAATGATTTCATAATATTGCTAAAAATTACATGATTAATATTTCGTAACATTAGTAAAATCAATCAAGAGTAATAAATATGTCAGAAGAACAATTTATTTATTTAACATAATATAATTTCTTAAAAATTATTATTATTAATACTAAATGAACAAAAATATATAAAAAAAAAAAGTAAATATAAATATATATTTCATCAAATCAATGGATCAATTACTTTTCATATCGAGAGTTACATTATCGAGAATTAATAAAAAAATTGAAAAATAAAATTGATAAAATAGATTTATTGACAATTGATCGATATTCATCAAAATCATTGAATGTAAGACTCGACTATGATGTATCTCAAAAAATATTGAAAATAATTCCATAATGTATTTTGGATTGTTTCGAGTTATTTGTGATATTGATTTTTTTAAAAATGAAAAATATGTCTAAAAATTTTATTAAATTAAAAGAAATTATAATTTAATTTTTTCTCAAATAATAAGATATTATTATATGCATATTATTTGTAAGAAAAGTTTAAAGTATATAGCGAATGAATTGATAATTTCTTTTTTATATTATCAAGTTTCAACATATTTTTTTAGATGAATGTGTAATATAATATTTCTAATTATGAAATATTAGAATCGATTATATAAATATTCAGACACTGCCATTATATATATGGTACAAATAATAGGATATAATGAAGAAAGGAGAAAACGATGAAAAACAGAAAGAAAGAAAAAAGAAAGAGATTTGACAGATTTTTTTTTTATATATAAGAAGATATGAAGAAAATTTCATTTTTTTTTTTATCAAAATCATGATGATCAAGAACATATGACTTTTTTTTATATTGTGGTAAGTTTCTTAGTAAACATGATTACAATGATTTGTTACAATGAATATTGAAATCACGTATCACAAGTGTGCAATTTATCAAAATAAATTTTAATTTTATTTTTTAAGTGAAAAAAAAATATTTTTTTATAAATAATATATATAATGCATAATTAATTAAATTTTTTGCAAAAATATAATAAATTCTGAAATCAAAAATTATATTCGAAGATTTTTTTACCTCGTTATGCTTTCTTCTACAAAAATACTTGTTCTATTGAAAGTAATTTACTTTCCTTTTATTTTTTTATCCTAAAATCATTCATTTACCTACTAGAATAGTAAATAATTGAAATTGTAAATTTAAAAAAAAAATAAAATTAAAAAAATGAAAAAAAAAAAAAATAGCTAGGAAATGATCGATGAAATTTATATTTTCTTTCCAGTTTTTCCTATTTTTATTTTTTGTTTGCATCGAATTAACATTTTTTTTTTTCTTTAAACTTGGTGCACATTTATCGTGATTTTTTGATAGATTTATTATTACAGATAGAGATGAAACAAAATCGACATTATATTTAACAATTTTTTATAAAAAATAATAGGATAATTTCCTTGAAATGTATAATTTAAGAATTATTTTATATTTTATCTATTTTATTTATTTTTTATTTTTTATTTTACTATTTTTCTCACACCAATACAAAAGAATATTTATAAAGGTAATTAATTCTGATGAATTCGCATTAATTTTCATATTATCAACTGAGTTTATTTAAATAAATACTTTACATTAATCAATCAAATATTTGAATTTCAAATTTTTTTCGATAAACAAGAGTTGAAAATTTATCTTTTACTATCTTATTTCTGAAATTATTACATATTAGAATAAATATTGTATTAAACAATTTTTTATTTTTAGGTCTATCAGATTTTTCTCTAATAAAAGTATTTTGTTGAGTCAAACGATAATGGTTTGTTACCAATATCAATGTTTTTTTCATCAAAATACAAAGAAAATTAAAGAAACAATAATCATTCGAGAATATATTGATCTCATAAACGAGAAATCTTATTTTGCAGCCATTTTTAAGTTATTTATTATGAAACTCAAAATTTCAAGAAATTATTGTATGTAATACAATAATTTATTTTTAATTCAAAATCTATACAATTCAGTTTGCACCAGAATATTTATACATTATTGATCATATCTAATTTTATCGATATATCAGTTGATATGATATATTTATATCATTATTCTGAGTTCTTTGGTCAATAAAATACTTTTCTTTACTGATTAAATTCGATAATCAGATAAGCAACTAGATAATGCAACGAAATCACAATAAAAATACAGAAGATAAGTATACGGTAGTCACATCGTCGATAATTAAACATTTGTCTACATCAATTCATTATGATTGTTCAAATTCGATTATTTTTTTTACTTTCCATTTTATTCACTGCTAGTTTTGCGAATTTTCAAGATGCTACGTAAGTTCTTTTAATTAATTAATAATTAATAAAAATAAATTAATTATTATTAGTAAATTTTATTAGTAAATTTATTAGTAAATTTACTAGTAAATTATCTTGTTTTTAATACATGAATTTCGATAATATTCATTGTACAATGAAATATTGTATAATTGTATTCATTCGCAATAATTATAGAGAATATTAAATTAAAAAAAAAAATTTTCAAGAAAAAAGACTAATCTTAAGTATATTTTTCTTAAAATATAGAAAGAATAATGAAAGTTCTGGAAAGATGTCGACTATAGTCAATAAATTATTCGACATGGCATTACCTTCAATTAAAATATTTATTTTAAAACATAGATTAGATCCTATGAAATTGAAAGATTTATCCCAAAATCTGGTATTTATATAATTTATATAATAAACTTGATCAAAATATATCAAATTTGAACGATAATTATTTTTTTATTTTTATAATAGAAAGGAGTAATAATTCACCATAGAACTCTTAATTTAACGAAAGGTTCTCTTGAAGGGTTATCAAATGTAAATCGGGCAAACGATATTATTTTGTCTTTTGAAAACAAAATTCTAACTCTAGATGCAACTCTAAGATTCAATGATCTTAAGGTAAAAGATTAAAAGAATCATAATATTATCGAATATACTTTTAAGAAAAATCATAATAATACTTCAATTTTAATTTTTTAGGCTAATTATAATTATCATCTTTATGATTTACTAATCAATAAAAAAGGAAAAGTTTATGGTTATATCAAGGACATGGAGATACGAATAATTATAGATTTAAATATGAACAATTATAAAGTTGCTGTTCCTATGGCTAATATTGTTAAATTAAAGTAATTATTATTATATTTATACAAATTTTTATCAACTGCTTTTATCAACTTTGTCTATAATATATATAATATGTATGAAAAGTAATTTTAATTTTTTGATTAAAATTTTTCTTATTTTCAGCAAATTTGATATCGTTTTTAAGGGTAATATAGATGATCCAATAGTAAATGCTGCAATTAAAGCTATTAGTAAAGTATTTCGTACAAATATTATAAATATGGTGAATACAGAATTTTCGAAGGTATTGCAGGAATTTGTAGACGAAATCAATAAGAAGATACCGCAACCTAACCAAATATTAGATAATGATAATATTTGGTATTATTTAAAATCTAATTTATCTTAGATAGGCTTTGTTTCATCTTTACAATACAATTTATTGAATTAAAAAAAAGATATGTAAAATATCTTGTAAAGATATGTAAAATAAAAGATGATGTAAAATATAAAGATGTAAAATAATAAAGCATCCCATTTCAATATATGTTTCTAGTAGAGTTTTAAAATATCTAATATTTTTATATTTAGGATATTATTACAATTATAATATAATACATATAATATCAGGTCATACCTGAGTTGCGCTTTGTATAGGTTAGATGAATAGACTGGATACATATGCAAGTTAATTAATCTGTTATTATCCACTTTTGCGTACAATATAATCCATATTCTTTCCCATTCCATTTTAATACTTAACATATGTTATATATACGTTTAGAATTATCATATACTAGCCATCAATATAATTTTTTGTATCTTGCGTTATATCTTTCGTGTATACTGTGTTTTATATTCTATATATACCAAATAACATTTTCAGATTAAATCAAATCAAACAAAGATGAATCGATTAAATTCGATTCGAATCGAATTATATCGATTTACATATATATATATATCGAATTAAATCGAAAAATAACGACCAAAGCCGAACTGAACGATCACGTGCTACATCGTTACGGCAGACATTGGAAACGAGCAAGTAAACGAATAGCAGTAAGCAGTAAATGTCGCGTCGCTATGGAACCGAGTCGAGCCGAATTGAACCGAGCCGAAACGAGCTATACCGAGAGATACCGAACTGAGAGCGCAGGACGCTTGTTTAGTGACAAATGCACGCATCGAAAGGAGCAACTGTCAAACAGCTTTTCGGGTTAGCATCGATCGGAAAACGACATCAACTATAAAACTTTAATTCAAATACACATCGTGATCCACGCATTAACGATAATTGTTTCAACTTTTTATATTTCTAATCCTATTAGGACAAGAAATGAGTATTATAAAGAGAAATTGATAAGAACGATCAAAATGCAACGTGTTAAGGAAGGCGGAAATGCATTCTCACAACATATCGTATCAGAATCGCGGTGAAAGGAAGAAGGGTTCGATGGGAAATTGGTGCAGCACATTGTTTAGCAAATGAAACAGGAATCGGTGAATTCGTGAGTGGTATAAAGGCAGAAAAGAACAGGACAGGGCAGAATTTTTGAATATTCGAAAATATGTTTGATTTTGAGGTTGAAAGTCCAAATTTGAGTCATCATCAAAAATATAACGATATCAATTAGGAAAATAAAATAAAGGAAAAAAAAAAAGAAAAAACGAAAAGATTGAAGCTTTAGTAGTAGAACGATTGCAAAATTTTAAGATTTGAGAGACAAGCGGAGATTATAAGCGGTGACAAGCGGTGACGAGCGGTGGCGCGCGAAGCGGAACCGAGTCGGACCGAGCGGAACCGAGCGGAGCCGAGCGCAAACTCGAGCGAGGCCGAAGCCGAAGCTGAAACCATAGGCAAAAGCGAAGGAAGGTTCGGACTTGGGTTCGGCGCGGTAGCGCTGGTTAGCGAGCGGATAAGCAGCTAACGGATCGGCGGCGTATCGCGAGCAGCCGAGAATGTGCGCGCGCGTTTAATAATTGACTGCTCTTCTTTTGGCAGAGCAACTCATATCGAACTTGTTTCTTGAGGCGAGTGCGCGTCTTCCTGGCTGGACGCGCGCGTGTACCGGCCGTGTATGGACGGCGGCACGCGTGCACGAGTCGAGGAGGAAAAAGCCCTGGATTCGTCTCGCCTGCGATCCTCCGCTCGGCTCGGCTTCACAAGTTCCTCCTCGGCCGGCAGCTCTCGTATCGCCAGGCGTAAAAGGAAGAAGAGGAGACGACAACAACGACGAAATAGTAACGTCGACGACGAGGACGAACTCGTCGTCGTCGGTGGCGGTGGCGGTGGCGAAGTAAGCACCGTCAACGAAACTGTCGACACAATCCTCGCGATTAAGGAAGAACCGCAACAGCTAGGAGGGCAAGTGATATCCAGCCAGGAATCGACGAAACCACCGAAA